ACCCCTCCTGTACCCCCACCCCACCTGCACCCCTCCTGTACCCCCAGTACTGAGAATTGAATGCATCTCTTTGCTCATGCTGCCTAAACAATGCCTCTTTATTTACCTTGTGTTTGTTTGAGACAGGGTTTCATGTAGCTCAGGCTAGCTTCAAACTCATCATGTAGCTGAGGCTAGCATTGTACTCCTGATCCTTGTGCCTTCACTTCCTGAGTGCTGCACCATTGTGCCCGATGTCTGTGGTGCTGGGGATCAAACCCCGCTTTGTGACGGTAGGCACTCTACATCCTGAGCTCTGTTTACCTTCGTCCATCATCCTGTTCTTACTCACAGCTAGTAAGCACTCTCCTCTGGACTCACTCACTGTTCATGGAATTCAATGTGCTGTGTGGTTCTAGGCACTCACTGCCTGTGAGGAGACAGCTGTGTATCTTAGGAACAGGGATATTTAAACACCACCTCCTGGCAGCCAGCGATGAGGCTGCTCCCTGTGGCCAGAGTTTGGCACTCACTCTAGCTTGCCATGCAAGATAGGTACTAATCCAAAAACGCTCTCACATACAGAGGTGCAGATGTTGTTGGCGTTCGGAAACGAGTTCAGGGTGTGTACCACTGTGGTAAGAGCTGAGGGAACGGCAGGCAGGCAGAGAGAGCATGGGTAGTGCATGTTGTTCTATCCTGACTAGAGCTTGAAATCCAAGGGTGCTCTCAGACCTTCAGGAAGTGGGATTCGGGAAGCGGGAGTGGGGGAAACCGGAGGGGAGAGAGGTGATGTCACTTCAGCGCTGCTGTTCTTGCTTGCCCACCTTTAGAGCTCTGGCTGATGGTGTGACCTCCATCCAGCAAGTGTTTCCCGGGAGGAGGATGTGTAATAGGATTGTGTGATAGGATAGTCCATCGGGGAAGGAAGAACAACAATATTCTCCCTCCCATCTCCAGCTTCCGTTTCCTTGGAGAAAGGTGTGCCCTGTGGTGTACTAACTCCTTAGCTTTCCAGGTTGTGCATGGCCTGGCTTCGGGTGTGCTCTTGTAGCTCAGAGGCAAGAGAGTCAGTAGTCAAGGGGAGAGTGGAGGCATGCAGTGTGAGTTAGGACTTGAGGGGCTGCAGACTGCCCATGCACTGGTAAGACCCTGTGTATTTGGTTAGCCACTGATGCTGGGATGAAGAAAACGGCATGGCCAGGCGTATGTGAGGTGCTACCTGGTGTGTATACATTCCACCTTTAACAAATGTACACACAGACACACACCCACGTGTTTGCGCATAGAAAAAAAGGATGCTGCTGTTTCTTGGTGGTGAGATCCATTCAGTTTTTACTTTATTTGTAGTCATCCTTAAAAAAGAAAAGATTTAAGGTCCTGAGTTCAATTCCCAGCACCCACGTGGTAACTGTAGTCCCATGAGATCCAGTGCCCTCTTGTGTGCAGATGTACACGCAGACAAAACACCCATACACATAAATAAAGTAAGGTCTTCTGGAAGAGTGCCCAGTCTAAGAAAGAGTCATAGACAGCCCCTGTTCCCACCATTAGAAGCCCCACAGGAACACCAAGGTAGACAGCCATAACACTCATGCAGAGTGCCTAGGTCAGTCCCAGGCAGGCTCCCTGGATGTCGGTTCAGTCTCGGAGCCTCTGTGGGCCCAGGTTAGTTGATGCTGTGGATTTTCTTGTGGTGTCCTTGACTCCTCTGCCTCCTACAATCCTTCCTCCCCGTCTTCCATAGGATTCGCCAAGGAGGTCCACCTAGTGTTTGACTGTGGGTCTCTGCATCCCTAGTTTTATTTTATTAATTTTTTAGGCCAGTGTCTAGTTTTATTTCTGTTACTATGACTAAATACCCTGACCAAAAAAATAAATAAACAACAACAACAAGACCAAACAGCAGAGGGGAAGCCAGAATGCCAACACCCAGCACTCGGGAGGCAGAAGCAGGCGGATCTGTGAGTTCCAGACCAGCCATTTTGCCTCCACAGCAAAAATTTCATAATAGTGATAATATTGTAATACTGATATAACACAGTATGTTCTCAGTGCAGACATTCACCTTTTCTAGCCCACAGTAATAAATGTGTTAACCGAAGAACAGCTAGGTTTGTCTGTTTTGGCAAACCATACCTGACCCAAGAGATGTTGTCTCCTAAGTAAGTACTTTATCTGACTGGGATAGAGGCTCTTGCTTTTCCTCTTTCTTTGTTTGTTTTTTTTTTTGTTTGTTTGTTTGTTTTTTTCGAGAGGGTTTCTCTGTGTAGCTTTGGAGCCTTTCCTGGAACTCACTCTGTAGACCAGGCTGGTCTCGAACTCACAGAGATCTGCCTGCCTCTGCCTCCCAAGTGCCTGGATTAAAGGCGTGCACCACCACTGCCCTTCTTATTTATTTGTCTTTTAAGTAAAGAACTACAGATGTTTTTATTTGCAGATGACAACAACCTGCACATAAAAGACTACAAAGACTACACCAGAATACTCTTGAAGATATAATTTCAGAAAGCCACAGAATATATAATCAGCATACAGAAGTCAACATCTGTTTTATAGTACTGGCTAAGAAAAAACAATAACATTCACAACATGTACATTAAAATGAGATAAACACATGGCCGGGCGGTGGTGGCGCACGCCTTTAATCCCAGCACTCGGGAGGCAGAGCCAGGCGGATCTCTGTGAGTTCGAGGCCAGCCTCGGAAAAACCAAAAAAAAAAAAAAAATGAGATAAACACAAAACTAGCCAGCCAAGGAACCAAATGTGTAACAGAACATGGTAATCTCTTGTCATTGCTTTTCCTCTGAGTCCCTAATCCTCTTCCCTTTATTGTCTTATTTCAACAGAGTTAACATGGCCGGAGCCGAGGAAGCGGTCGACGGAGGTGGTGACAAGCGTCCTCCCTTTGCTGGTGGGAAGTCTGTGCTGTGCTTCGGGCAGGTGACTAGTTGCTTCATCTGTTTAGAAGGAGATTAAATGAGGAAAGCTGGGATGAAATGATCCCGGGTGGGGTGCTCATTGTGTGCCTTTCTCCCTTCCAGTCAGAAGTCCACCATCTTTTTTTGTTTTTGAGACAGGGTTTCTCTGTGTAATTTTGGTGCCTCTCCTGGATCTCGCTCTGTAGACCAGGCTGACCTCGAACTGACAGAGATCCGCCTGCCTCTGCCTCCCGAGTGCTGGGATTAAAGGCATACGCCACCACCTCTCGGCGGTATTTCATCATCTTTGCTCTTTTGTGTTGTAGCACTGAGGATTGAACTTGGAGCTCTACCACTGAGCTGTCCTATCCCCAGCACGGTTTAGTACTTTGTCTTTTTGTTCCAAGGTCTTTAGTAACTAAGTGGATTTGTGAACTTGGCAGTAAAGACTAATAGGAGGCCAGAGAGGTGGCTGGGCAGGTGGCACCTGTCGCCGAGCCTGACGACCTGAGGTCGATCCCTGGGATCCACATGGAGGACGGAGAACTGACTCCTTCCTGCATCTGTCCTCCGAGCCCACGGGCACACCATGCTCCTGTGTACAATTTTAGAAATGGAATACAAATGTAGAAACTCAGTACAAGGGATTCATAAGCTGTAAAATGTTACCCCACTTGACTGTATCGTGTAGAGTGTAGTCCATGCCCGCGAAGCCTCTCGCTGTGTAGACACTGTGCATGGAAGAACCGGCTTTGTCTTCCCAAAGGACACAGCACAAGGGAGCAAAGCCCCAAGAGCAACCATCCTGTGTGTGTCTGCCTGCGGGACGGGCATCGTAAGAGCGCGGTGTTCCTTCTGCCAGCTTGGGGAGTGTGAATTTCAGGCTCTGAGCGGGGAAAGTTGGGTTTCCTGCCTCCACTTCAGAGGGCGGGAGCTCCCTCCGTGGGAGAGCTTGCTTATTAGCTGGGTGAGGCCTTGGGTTCTGTCCCTTGCTCCACAAAGCAAAAACGAAACCCAATTTAGCTTGAAAAGTTTAAGAAGGATAGCAGCAACACTTTAAAGCAATATTTTTATATTAATTTTTTGTTTTTGGTTTTTGAGACAGGGTCTCTCTACACAGCCCTGTCTTAGAACTCACTGTGTAGACCAGGCTGGCCTCAAACTCACAGAGATCCACCTGCCTCTGCCTCCCAAGTACTAGGATTAAAAGGGTGTGCCGCCACCACCAGCTTAATTCTTTTTTATTCTTACAATGTATTTTGATCATGTCTTCTTCCAGCTCCTCCCTACCCACCCAACTTCATGCTTTTTCTCTCTGTCTCAAAACAAAACAAAACAAATCCCTCCAAACAGGAAAAAACAAAACAACCCCAAAATTAAAACAAACAAACCCCCAGTAAGACAAAAAATGCCCCCCAAAAAACTCAAACAACAAACCAAACCAAACAATAAACAAACAAACTCAAGAGGCCGCAAACAACCCCATGGAGTTCCTTTTATCTTGGTCAACTACTCCCGAGCCTGGGGCCTGCTCCAGTGTCCAGGTGGACAAAACTGGCCCTCCCCACGCCGCAGGTATCAGTTGCAAATGGCACTTGGCTAGGGTGGGAGTTGTATCGACTTCCCATCTTATGCTGGGGTTTTGTGTGGCCTGAACCTGGGCACGTCTTGTGTGTGTTGCTACAGCCTCTGTGAGTTCATGTGTGCATCAGTCATGTGTCTTGGAGTCACCTCCAGCTCTTACATTCTTTCTGCCTCCACTGCATAATCCCTGAGCCTTGAGGGGAGGGAGGGCTTTAATGGAGACATTCCATCTAGGGCTGAGGACGCCAGAGTACTCTTCCGCTCTGCACACTGTCTAGTGTGTCTCTGATGAGGGTTGAGTGAGGCACGGATCTAGGGTACAGCAGCATGTCATTAGGAATCATCTGATTGCTATGTTCCTTTGCAGAATAATAGTAATAGGTTTTCCCCTAGGCCCATGACCTATCCAGTCTCAGGTTCATGGCCATTTAAAAGCATCCACCACCACCACCCCACCACCCTATCCCCCAGACAGGGTTTCTTTGTATAGCTCTGGCTGTCCTGGAACTTGCTCTGTAGGCCAGGCTTGCCTCGAACTCACAGAGTTCCATCTGCCTTTTCCTCTTGAGTGCTGGGGTTAAAGGTGTGCGCCATCACTGCCCAGCTTAAAGCAATTTTTAATGAGTGCATAAAGTTATGCCTTTTTATAGGCTACCATGCGATGTTTGATACATGTATGCATGATATGTGTAAAACTTTCCCCTGGGCTGAGATGGGACCTAGAGCCTCAGGCCTGCTGGGCAGGTGCTCTCATCTACCGTTGGCTCTACTCAGTATTCCAGAGTGTGGAGAGGTGGTGCGTCTGAAAACTCAGGGAGGGATTGGCTGTGGGGGAACGGCGCAGATATCGACTAGCTTTCCCTTATGGATTGTAGAACCAGTACACAGCAGAAGAGTACCAGGCTATCCAGAGGGCTCTGAGGCAGAGGCTGGGCCCGGAGTACATCAGCAGCCGCATGGCTGGAGGAGGCCAGAAGGTAAGCTGAGTCTTGGGCACGTATCTAGCAGTCAGCATAGAAATCCTGCCTTTTGGTTTCACTAGAGTCCATGGATTCAGAGGTCCTTGTTCCCTGGTACTAGATCCTTCCCTGTGCCTCTGGAAGGAGTGGGTCCCAGACTTCTCTGTCATCCGCATTGTTTTGAGATGGCTATAAATTCCATGTTGAGATGTTTACGTCATCTTTAAAAATGTTCCCTTTACCACTTGCTTCTAATTTCATTTCTTTCACTCATTAATTCATTCATTTATTTGTTTATTTAGGTTTTTCAAGACAGGGTTTCTCTGTGTAGCTCTGGCTGTCCTGGAACTCACTCTGTAGACCAGGCTGGCCTCGAATTCACAGAAATCCGCCTGCCTCTGCCTCCCGAGTGCTGGAGTGCTGGAATTAAAGGCGTGTGCCACCACCACCTGGCCTTAATAGCTTTTTCTTGAAAATTTATTTTTTAGGTGTGTTATATTGAAGGTCATCGGGTAATTAACCTGGCCAATGAGATGTTTGGTTACAATGGCTGGGCACACTCCATCACCCAGCAGAATGTGGGTATGTTCTCTGTGTGTGCTGACCGCTTTATGTTCCTTATTTCGTAACTGTTTTATTCCTGCTTCAAGAGTTTAGTGAGTCAGGATATGGGTAGGTGGGTTGGATTGCCAGCCAAGGAAAGTGGGTAAGGTGCAGGATCAGTATCCTTCCAACTGGTTCTCTTTCCCATTCCTAGATTTTGTTGATCTCAACAATGGCAAATTCTACGTGGGAGTCTGTGCATTTGTAAGGGTGCAGTTAAAGGTGAGGGGTGGGGTGCCACTGCTGCCTGGGAGGACCGAGGAGACAGTGTGAGCAGGGAGGGAGTCTTGAGTGTAGACCTGGAGTGTGCCCTAGCTAGGGTGCCTAGGATGGCAGTATTCAAATATCCTTGCTTTCCTGCCCCTCAAAAGCATGTTGAAAGGATGTGTCTTACTCATTTTAAGCTGATACACAAAAGTTTGGCCACATAAATACAAAAGGATTGTGTGTGTGTGTGTGTGTGTGTGTGTGTGTGTGTGTGTGTGTAACTTGACAGTCGAAAATCTTTTTATAATGTAACAAAAACTTAAGTGCCATAGGGGATTAAATGCTATCATTTATTTGAACCAATGCTGTGTCCCATACCCCTTACCTCAGTTTAGATCAGTGGTTCTTATTCTGTGAGTATTATTGCCCCCTTTTACAGGGGTCACCTAAGACAAGCTGCATATCAGATTAATTCACAACAGTAGCAAAATCACAGTTATGAAGTAGCAGTGAAATAATGTTATTGTCGGGGGTGACCGCAACATGAGGAGCTGTACTAAAGGGCCACAGCGTTAGGAAGGTTGAGAACCACTGCTCCAGACATCTCATTATGTAGGCCCCTGGGTGCCCGAGGCTGTCTTCCTTGCTCTGCCTCTGCATGCTGAGGTGACAGGCCTGTGCTCCCACTAGCTTTAGGAGAATCTCAGTGTGTAGCCTAGGTTATGCTCACACTGACTGGCCTCTTGCCGGCTGGGTCCTGGGATTCCAGGGCTGTGTTGCCATGTCCTGCTAAGCTGCCCTTTTCTCAGAAGTTTCATTGTCCTTTTTTGTCTGAACTCGTACCTCCTGCTGCTTTTGTCCTAATGTATTTGTGACTGAAGTTTCATGTATAACTCCATTGTACTTATACACGTGTGTGTGTGTGTGTGTGTGTGTGTGTGTGTGTGTGTGTGAAAATAAATTGTTTTTTTTGTCAATTTCTATTGACCCTGTAGCTTTAAATATTAAATATTCAGCACTGACCACCGGCATGTTTCCAGGCAGATCTGCTCCAGACAGCACTTCTAGAAATTGCTGTCTTAAGTTCTGTGCTGTGTCCTCTTCAGCAGGGTCCTGGCTCCACAGCCTGAGGGTGGGCTGGGCGGGGGGTGGTTTTTCTTTTTTTAAATGCTGTTGCTCAGGGAGGCGGACTACAGCTTCCATGTTAAAGCTCCAACAACATCCCTTTCCACCTCAGGACGGTTCCTATCATGAGGACGTGGGTTATGGAGTTAGTGAGGGCCTCAGGTCAAAGGCCTTGTCGCTGGAGAAGGCCCGGAAGGAGGCTGTGACGGACGGGCTGAAACGGGCACTAAGGTATGAAAGGAGCTGGGGTCCGGCCAACTGGTTTCAGTTCATATTTCAGAGGAAGTGCCCATTCCCTTGGGTCCGAAATCTAAATAACATGAAAAGATGAGTCTCATTTTACCCTGATCCCACAATTCCTTGCTGCGTTTGTACTTTCCAGTGAACACATGGCTGAATGCAGACTACACTGTTCTCAGTGTCTCCCTCTCCTCCCTGGAAGGGCCCAGAGGTGCTGACAGCCTTTCAGTTCTCACAGCAAATGTCCGAATATACCAACTCAGAGAGCTTTAGGCTGCCTGAGCTCAGAGGGTGCAGTCAGGATTGACTGCCCTTATTGCTGTGGGTCTGGGGCAAGGGCGTGCATCATGGCGGAGAAGTTAAACAAACAACAAACAAACAAACAAACATATAGGAAACGAACCCAGTGATCTGTAGTCCTGGAGGGCAAGTCCCAGTGACCTAAAACCTCCCGCTGGCCGCCAGCCCCTGTGCCATCAGTTCTGTCCATTCCCATTCCCCAGAGGGCTGGCTTGTAGCAGGTGAGTTTTCGGGGAGGGCTTCGTGGCACTGGAGCTCCCCTTAGAGATCTGGGTCAGGCCACTGCTGTGCTCTCAGAAGCCAGTGGGATGCAGGAACGGGACATGTCCCATTGCCACTTACTGAGTGAAGACGGGTCATTTCCTCCCGTAGCTGCAGCTTTGTGATGCTGCGACTGTGAACTGTGTGCTTTTTTGTCACTGTAGGAGTTTTGGTAATGCACTTGGAAACTGCATTCTGGACAAAGACTACCTGAGGTCACTAAATAAGCTTCCACGACAGGTATGTTAGTAGTCGGAGTGGGGTGACACAGCCCGCAGCTTCTCGGGTATGTCCTTGAGGGTAGTAGCAGGAGAAGTGAGGACTCGGCCTTTGGCAGCATCTGGAATGGTTATCTCCGATCTGGAAGGTTAATGCTATGCTAGCAGATGCGGCCTGGCCAGGTTTACAGTTCCCCTCGTGTACCAGAGAGCCATGCTGGGAGTAGTCCCCTCAGAACCAGTGCAGAGCTTTCTCACATTGTTTCTGGTCCTTATACATGTTCAAACTAGCTGTCTTTCTGCCCTTAGCGCTGGTGGCTGTGAGGTGCACACCTCCTCTGTCTCTGTCACTGCCGTCTGTGGGATCTTAGCACCAGCCTCAGGAGTGTGCCGTGCAGTAGACCTGACTAGAGTTGTGTCAGCTGGGGTTGAGTTGGTGTCTCCCTGGTAGACTCGTTGCCTTCTGTCTCCTTGAGAGCCTTGTCAGGTGCTGTCCCGTTCTCTCAGCACAGGCCCCAGTGCAATGTCAGTTGGCTTCTGACAAGACTCCATACCTGCTGTGTGTGTGTGTGTGTGTGTGTGTGTGTGTGTGTGTGTGTGTGTGTGTGTGTGCGCGCGCGCGCGCGCGCGTGTCAGTCTCCTAGGAGCATACACTGTGCTTATCTGTCCACCTCTTGGCTGTTGTATCGCTGCTGTGGACATGGATGTGTACATTTTTCGAACAGCATCTTTCATTTTTGTGATGGTGCAGACCTGCAGGTTTGAGTGCTGACTCGTGTGTTTCCCATTTTGTTTCTTTGGAGAACTCTCCAGGCTGACACTCACGGCAGCCCCCACTGTTCAGCCTCGCTCTTCTGTTTTCCTGGTAGAGTCCATGCGCCCCTGACATCAGCCTTGTGTTTCAAAAGCTCGTTAGCCATTTGGGGATCATTTGAGAGGGTGAAGTCCATTGCCATTTTTAATGGGTTATTTGGTATTTTTGCTGTTGAATTATGGTAATTCTTAAAATATTTTATTTTTTAGTTTTTTGAGGTGGTGTTTCTCTGTGTCTCCCTGGCTGTCCTGGAACTTGCTCTATATACCAGGTTAGCCTCAAACTCAGCTCTGCCTGCCTCTGCTTTTCAAGTGCTGGGATTAAAGGCTTACACTACCACTGCCCAGTGCTTTTGATGTCTTTTTTTCTTTTTTTTTTTAATGATTTATTTTTATTTCATGTACATTGGAATTTTGTCTACATGAGGCTGTTGCATCTGTTGAAACTGGAGTTACAGACAGTTGTGAGCCACCATGTAGTTTCTGGGAATTGAACCCAGGACCTCAGGAAGAGCAGCCAGTGGTCCTAACCCCTGAGCCATCTCTCCAGCCCCACTTTTGTGTCTTATCAAGAGATCATCACCATAGCCAGTGCTGTGAAACATTTTCTCTGGGTTTGGAGTCCTCCACTTGGGACTTTAGTTATGTTGAGCTGGTTCTTGTGAAAAGTAAAGGATGTTTACCAACTCTCATCCCTTGGCCTGGGGAGCTCAGCTTTCTCAGCAGTGTTTGTTGACTGCCCTTTTCCCCAGGGGAGCGTACGTGTTCATGTATCTGTGTGTGTGCTTATGGAGGCCAGAGGTGGATGCTGGCTGTTTTTCTCAGTTGCTCCACCTTCTGTTTTGAGACAGGGTCTCTCACTGAGCCTGAAGCTCATTAGTTAGGCTACACTGGTTGGCCACTGAGCCCAAGGCATCCTTCAGGATTGGGATTACAGGCATTTGTTGCCCTCCCAACTTTTATATGGATGCTGAGGATCAAACTCGGGTCCTTGTAGGTGTCATATAGTGGGATATGGTTTTTGTAATCCATCTGTCAAATCTTTTGTCTTTTTAAAAATTTTATTATTTTTAGTTGTGTGTGTGCATGTGTGTGTGTGAGCACACACACACATAAATGCAGGTGCCCATGGTGAACAACGAAATTGGATTTCCCTTGAGCTGAAGTTACAGGCCTCTGAAAGAGCAGCATGTGCTTAGCCATCTCATTAACTCCCAATCTGTGGGGTTTTTTTTTTTTTCAAACTAAGATTTAATCCACTTACATTTAAAATAATTACTGATAGGATGGTTACTGCTTGCATTTTGCTGATTTTCTGCATATTTTTGTTCTTGGTAGTTTCCATTGCAGTTGCATAAACCATCTTTTTTTTTCCCCCCCGGAGACAGGGTTTCTCTGTGATACAGTTCTGGCTGTCTTGGATCTCACTCTGTAGACCAGGCTGGCCTCGAACTCAAAGAGATCCACCTGCCTCTGCCTCCTGAGTGCTGGGATTAAAAGCATGGGACACCACCTCCCTGCACATTCAATTTTTCTACCTCTTTCTCTTACCAGCTCCCTCTTGAAGTGGATTTAACTAAGGCAAAGAGAGAAGATTTTGAACCATCTGTGGAACAGGCAAGATATAACAGCTGCCGACAGAAGGAAGCACCGGGACCCCCAAGAGCACAAGAAGCAACTTCCCCTTGCAGACCAAGCCACCCACGCGACTCAGACCTTAGGCTGCAGGGGGCTAAGGACTGCAGCAGCTCCTGGTACTGGACTCAGGTTCCCTCCCTTTCCTCTGCCGCTCCTTCTAGTGTGGCTTTGGCCGCTTCCACTCCTGCCTCTGAGACCAGCAGTGGTTGTTTGTGTGCTTCCTCAAGCCGGGTCCATTGTGGTTACCTTGGTTTGCAGCAGCAGCAGCAGTCTGGCCGCCACCGTGGAGAGGGATGCTGTTCACCAGCGGAAGCTCCGGAAGCTCCGGCAGAGGCAGCTGCAGCAGCAGTTCCGGCAGCAGATGGGGTTGCCCCTGCCGGGCCACACACCTGCCGCAGAGGTGGAAGCTGAGTGTCAGGGTGTGTGAGGGGGAGACTGTGACTCTTTCCAGGCCGTGCCTTGCTAGGGCTTTTCTAAGTGCCATGTAGGACAGATGACCCCACGGAATTAGGATGGCAAAGTCTGCCCTGCTCCTTCCCAGTTCCAAAGATAAGGGGCTGTTTAGGGAAGTCAGTGGGCTGTGATCGACATGTTATGTCTGCAGCACCTGGGAGGCAGAGGCAGGCCTGGACTACATAGTGAGATCACCACCCTCCCCATCTTCTGGAATTTGAAATTTCGAGTCAAGAGTCCCTTTGTCTCTGCATTAGGAAACTTGACTCTTGGATAGCTTTTGATTATAAGGCAAAGCTAGAAGGTAACTGGAGCTTTTAGCAGATTTTTTACCCAGGAGTTTAAATTAACCGGAGTTTTGGTTTCACAGAATTAGATGTTTCTGCTGTTGTGCAGACATTTGTTAAGGACTTTCCCGGTCCGGGGAGCATTTGCCCATTTTCTCTGTATAGTGAAGGTGCAGGAGACAGATTATATGCTGGGTTTATTCTCACCCCTCAGCACATTACCAACATTAATGTAGGAAAAAGCAAACCAAAACATTCATCATTCTGGGCACATCCTGAGTAATGAGTTGGCCTAAAAGTTTGGCTTCTGGCCATGCCAGGAGCTTGAAGGGCAAGGATGGAATCCAGGATGCACTGCCCTGTCCCAGAACCACTGGGCTGCAAGGCTCCTACCAACTCTAGGGGCCTTTGCTGTTGTCGGGGAAATGGGTTAGGGCGGTTGCTCAAGGTAGAGTGCTCGCCTAGTGTCCGAGTTCCATTCCCAGATCTGGTATGGTGGTGGCACACTGCTGTTATCCCAGGAGGGTCAGATACTCAAGGTCATCTTGGTTGTATAGGGAATTCAAGGCCTGCCTGGGCTACATGAGAGACCCCGTCTCCCACAGACAAAACACAGAAAACACACGTGGTTCTCCCCCACTCTAGTGAGACATAGACGACATACAGAGTTGGAGGTAGGCCTGGGAGTCAGGGCCCTGAACCCTAAAGGTATGCTCTGGGCAAGAGGGGAATAGACGTCATCCCAGAGTTGGCAAGTTACGTGACCTCTGGCTTGTCCTTGTCTCCTGTGCAAACCAGCTGTGCCTCCAGCCCCTCCTCCGGAACACAGTACCCCCCAATCTGCTGCCTCAGAACTCCTCAGGGAGAGAGCCGCCTGCCCAGGTAAGTGACGTGAGAATTAACCAGTAAATACTTACGAGGGTGTGTAATTTACTGTGCTGTGTACCTTTTGGCAGATACAGAATTCATGTTTTCCTGGGAGGGTTGGGTGCAGTACTGGGATTGAACCTGTGCCCCTGCAGCCCTAGGCAGGTGCTCACCGTTGAGCTATAGCCCCAGCTCATAGATTTCATCTTGTAATCAGTTCTCTCCTACCGTGTGGGTCCTGGGTCTTGAACTCAGGTTGTTAGATTAGGTGGCAAGTGACTTTACCTGACTAGCCATCTTTCTGGCCCTCATCTGATTTTTAGTGTTGTCAAGTTTTATAAAAATGGAAAGAGGTCCCCAAATTGACTAATGGGGGCTCTGATACATGTTCCTCTACTCTCCAACCTAAAGAAAGATTCAGGGTGTTTGTTGGAATGAAAAACATTTGCAAACTTATCAGAAGGAACTCAAAAGCATGATTTTTTTTTTTCTTTTTCTTTCTTAACCGAGACAGGGTCTTACTGTCTGTGGTGGAACTGCTGGCTGCCATGTGCACCATCACACCTGTCAAACCATGGAAGCTATTGTAAACAATACTGTGGTTCTCTTCTGTAGCTAACCCTGAAGACAACCTTGAAATGTGGGACCTGACTCCAGATTTAGAGGACATCATTAAGCCCTTGTCTAGATCAGAACCACCCCAAACCTCTGCCACCGGAGCCCTTAACAACCAGGAGGTGATCCAGGATGGCGTCCTTTGCCACCAGATGCCACCAGAAAAACCTGGAGCCGGGCACCTGCAGACCAGCAGCACTCACCAGCATGTACTAGGTAGCAGAGATGTGTGAAGAACAAAATTTATGGGTTTGTTTAATTCTATAAAATTTGAAGCGAGGGTGCTAGTTCAGTTTAAGAAGTTGAATTAGGGGGACGGGAAAGATGGCTCAGCAGTTAACAGTGCTTACTACTCTTGCAAAGGACCTGGATTTAGCTCCCAGCACACATGTATTGGCTCACAATGGTCTATAACTCCAGTTCCAAGGGGGATTGGATACCCCGTCTGGACTCTGGACATCAGACATGCAAGTGGTGCATAGACATACATGCAGGCAATATATCCACCAAAAAAAATTGTTGGGATAAATGGGACATGGTGGCAACATGCCTGTAATCCCAGCCTTCAGGAGGCTGAAGCAAAAGAATTTCTGTGAGGTATAGATGAATTCCATGGGCTGGATATTTAGCTCAATGGTAGAACCCTTGCCTAGTGTGTTGTAAGACCCTAGGTTCAATCAGGCCAGTTAGGACTACATATTAAGATCCTGTATCAAGCCGGTTCGTGGCCGTGTACGCCTTTAGTCCCAGCAGTTGAGGGGCAGAGCCAGGAGGGTCTCCATGAGTTCAAGGCTAGCCTGGTCTACAGAGCGAGATCCAGGACAGGCACCAAAACTACACAGAGAAACCCTGTCTTGAAAAAACCAAAAGAGCCGGGCGGTGGTGGCGCAC